GACAGAGGTAGATCAGTGGTTGCCTGGAAAGCGGGGGGGGGGGGGCATTATTAAAAGAGCACATGGAAACATTGGTTTGTGATGAAAATGTTTATTATCTTGATTATGATGACTGTTTTGCGGGTATATTCATCTGTCGAAAATGAATCACACTGTACACTTTAAATATATACAGCTCACTTACTTTAATTATACCCACCCCCCAAAATTGGGGAAAATACTCAGCCTATCCTAAAGACAGAGTTTTTGAAGCATGGACTGAGTACAGGTCATTCATAAGAATTATCCAGAGTATTTGTTTAAAATATACATCTCGGTCCCCATTTCACACCTACAGAATCTGATGCCCTATGAGCTGCATTTTAAATAAGCTCTCCAGAAAATTACTAGGCACACATCCGAGAACCACTGTTTAAGACCCAGTTCAAATGCCACGAGGATCCTCTCTGATGCCTCCACTGGGCTCAACGATGGACAGAGTTGCCTCTTCCCGTAACCCAAGGCTGCATCTCATGAATGGCACCAGAGCTGCCATGCTTTTACAGTCTTGTCTTCCATACGACACTCCAAGTTTTACAGGGAGAAGTCAGATCTTATCGTTCTGTCTTGCTCTGTCTAGCACCATGCCTTATGCAGAAATGATGCTAAGTATATGCACGGCATGTCCACCTGATAACACGGCGCTGGTACAGTCTTGGTCCATCTTAGATCAATCACACTGAATGACGTAAGTGTGGGCAGAGGCTGCAGAGACTGGCTACCAAAGAGAGGAAGAGACTGGAAACAGATTTACACTTAGACAAGAGAAGCAGCATAAGGTATGCCAGCTGGGCATCCAAGCAAAGATGAAGTGCATAACCCCTTGCAAACAGGAACCTAACTTATTCTGCGATGCACATTGCAAATACCCATACCACCCATATTCCATCCCGGGTGTAACCAGGACAAGGGCTTGGCACGATCCTCTCCAATCCCTGCCTCCTCCCCGTTCTGCCCACCATACCTCTGTTAGAAACACTTGCCACATGGCGCGGCAATCATTTATTTTTATGCTTGTGTGTGCTGTGCTATTTTCAAAGGCAAGGACAATGCTTATTCGTTTTTCTATAGGCTTAGAAGGAACTGAGGAAATATTTGACAAACGAATGAACAACAACAAAAATGATTATTTAAAACTAGAAACTGCTCATGTACATATCTATAAAGTTTTCCCTAAAGAGGCAAGTTTTTAATTTTAATGATGAGGTAAAGGAAGGCGGTTCCATTTTCAAAGTTATTTTCCACCGTGGAGCCTTTCTGCTCCCTGGCCTCTGAACAATCTTCTAAATTTCACAGGGGCTCAATAAATGGTACATTCCCTCCTGGCACGACGACACCCACAGTCACCCTGGGGAGAGACGTGCACGCTCTGAGGACAACCTGGGAAGAACTGGGCAGCCTGAGTCAGCCCAGTGGGAAATACATGCGTCACGTCTGGAGACATGATTCAGTGCTGCTCTCAGAACACCTCCTCAAGGAAAAGCCAATCCAGTCATCATGACGACAGTCACCATCCACGTCACAATCACTAAATGCAAGGCGTTGAAAGCCCGGTGAAGGCACTACAACTGAAGGAAAAAGAAACACAGCCAAATTCTAGAAGCTGTCCAAGAGCCTCACCCTGGTCTGTGCACAGACACACACATACGCCTTAGTCAACTTAAATGTGTGAAAAAGCATTTCCACGGCCTGTGCAAATTAGCAGTCTCATCTCATGCTTTCAATTGAGTGCACTCTGTCACAGAGATGACACTCACGGGGGCAGAGCCCTTCTGCCGGGAACAAATACCACCACCACAAATAAATTCTGTTTGCTGTTGTTGCATTTGGTGCCAGTTCTTCGTTCTTTGTTAGGCAGAAAAACTTATTTGTCAGGAATTTCTGGCCGTTTTAAAACTGCATTTCAAAAATGTGCAATTTACTACAATTACTAGCAGGACATAATCGTTACTTATTGGAAAGATGTGGGCGAAGTCGCACTGCCAGCCATTGGATTCTGACCACCTTCCTGAGGCTGTGTCACACGGGGATAATAACAGCGTCACCCAGAGCCCTGTCATCAGGGCTCAACAAGAGAAGCATCCAGAACACTCAGTGAGATGCTGACACGCAGTCAGGGCTCAGCTAGCGTCACTCATGCTCCATCAGCCTCTCCAGCCGCCAGCAATTTCAGCATTTCCCTGCACTTCTGTAAGAACCATAAAGATGGAGGCTCTACAACCACCAGTTTTACCATTTCTTGGAAGCTCTATTTAAAAAGGCAGAGGAAGGGAGGGGAGAAAACGAGGGAGGAAAGACAGCAAGAATGGCAAACTGACCCGGAGTGACCAAGCGCACACAGCCAGCCTTCCTCCATGCCGCGGGGCCTCGGAAAACAGAAACTGAGCTGTACTTGCAAATTGTGTCTGTGTTTAGTGGCTGCCAGGCACACAGTTTAAGAATTTTAACTACAGATGTCAAAACGCACTCGAGCCTGAGAACACGGAGCAAAACTCTGTCATAATAACTTCAAGTTCAAACAGCAAAGCCCACACAGATTTTCTTTTATAAAACCATCTCTTCTTTTCTTTGGTCTCTCTCTCTCTTGCAAGGTATTTAATTTAAATTTTCTAGGTATCATTTCCCAACAAACGAAAGCACATCCTACCACCGCGGTGAATCTCCTAGAAATATTTGCATCTTAGATGTCTTCTTTTTTTCCCTTCTTTTTCTTTTTCCCACTTTGCCATTTCCTCCAAGAATACCTGACACGGCTGATCCAACGGTGGAACAGCGGTCTCATTAACGTGCAATAATGACTTGGAAACCTGTTTCAGATAACTATATTCAGCCAATTACTGTGCGAACAAACCTCATAAAAACCTGTCAAGGACATTGGAAATGTACAAGGAAGCACAATTCCGAGCAACAATTGACACGTAACTGATCCTCCCCCGATCTGCTTTCTGAGTCTAGCCCCTCACACCACAGCTCCTGGGAGGAAGGCTTGGATTCCTTCAAATCTTTTGTCTAAAAAACAAAAACCACAGACATAGCTGGAGTTAGCGCCCATCCAAGAAGACATGAAATCTCACATAATTGCTCCCAGGATTTTGTGTTTCCTATTAAGAGGCATATACATCTCTTAGGCTGATTTTCCTGTTTCTTACGACTCTTAATTTTCTTTCATCCTCTAAAATCAATCCAGAACCATAGGTACTAAGATGACGAACATCAAAGAAGTAATGCAGTTCCCAGTGGTTAGAAACGGTTTCTGTGACACGCAGGGCAGCCTCTGTTTAAATCTCTCCGATTAAGGGGACTCTCTGTTAATAAATGGTTCTAACCATTTGAAAAAAAAATTTTAATAACACTAGAGATTAATTTTTACTGAATGTTTATTAAGTGTCAGACCTTGTGCTTACTGATAAGCGCGCTCCATGCGTCAAAGGCACCTCAGCTAATCCTCGTGAAGAAATTCTGAGGGAGGCGCAGCTGTGCTCATCTCCGCCACGGGAGGACCGCGACGCGCGGGCGGTAGACAGCCGGCCTGAAGACACAGCCGTCATCCCGCAGGACACCTGGTGCTCCGGGCGCTCGGCCCGGGCCTCCCGGCTTCGACTCACAGGCCCAGGGCTTGCTCGGCAGAGCAGAGAGGAATCTGTGAGCCAACTGCGTCCAGCCCCGCGGACGGAGACCCGCGAAGAGGACGAAGGGAGGCCAGGCCTCCGCCCGCCCAGCCCGGGCAGCACGAACTCCCGCATCGCACAGCCGCTGCGGCTCGGGTCTCACCGCTCCCTCCTTCTCCGACCCCGTGACCTCACCCGTGGTCCATCCACCTCTCTCAGTCCCCAAGAGCAACAGCTCTTCTCCACTGTGCCGGACGAGGCCCCGCGACCAACCCTGAGCCAGAGCCAGCGCCCTCCTAGGCCCAGAGCACGACCTTCTACAAGAGGCGGGGCGGGGGAGCGGGGGGGGGGGGGGCGGCGCGAGCACAGCCCCATCAGTTGCCCTGCGCTTATTACTGCTGCGGCAGCGAGCCCCTGCTCAAACACCGCATCGCAGCCGGCCTCCCATGGAGGATGTCAACTGTGAACATGTTTAAAATTAAATTCAAAGAGACTTTTGTTAAAAAAAAACTCACAGCTCTGAAATTAAGTTTAGAAATAATCATTTTAATTAAGCCACGGTCCTGCAAAGAAGAGCTGGAACGATCTTCCTCAAGTACCTGTGAGTACCGGTAGATTCAATCAGGGACCCCATTTTCTGACTCACCCCAGTCCCGCGGCACGGCCAACACTGAGCACGGCAAACACCCAGACACCACAGGCCTAAGCATTTCTCAACTGTGTTTTTGGCGTATTTATGACATTTCTACTGAATCAGGGGCACTGTTCCAAACACACTAAGAACAGAAAAGGATTACACGCTGGCTTCGTTCTTAAAGAGTCTGGAAGACAAACTGCTCTCCTGGGGCAGGCATCAGACACCTGTGGACAGTTACAAAGCCACAGATCCACACGTACCAAATCACCAAGTACAAACCCAACCCCTAGTGCCGACAAGGAAGCCCTCCAAAACCAAGAAGCCTTTGCAAGATGAGACGGGGGAGACTGCGTTCTTCCAGAGCAAGGAGCCAAGGAAAAGTCTGCAGGGCAATGCAAGGAGAGAGAGCCTGTGAGGGACTTCCGGGGGGGGGGGGGAATGTAAATGTGTATGCAAATTAGTATGCAAATAACATTAACTGGGAAGAGAGTGCTCTTTCAGAGAGCCTGCAAATAAATGCTGGATTCTTTTCTACCTGAATTTACCAGTTGTTGCTCCATCACCCCACAGCCAAGAACTTCTAGCCATTCTCCGTGGAAGTTGATCTCCATCTCGAAGGAAGGATGAGTGAAAGGAAAGTAGCAGTCCACCCATCTAATGTCCAGTCCTGCAGATGCGCCAGAGAAAAACAACACAGAGAGTCAGAGGCAGTCTTCCCTTCCCCGTGATCAAATCTGCCCTTTGGCTAATGACACCAATTACTATATTCTGAGTCAAATAAATAGCAAACAAATTAATTTGCAACACTTTAGAGGGAGGCAATAAATCTTAAAACGTGTGAAAAACTGGACATGTCTTTTCCAATAAGAAAAACACTTCGTGCAGTTCCAGGACCCTCTGAAACCAAATCAATCACCTGTCAAATCCCTGCAACCACCTGGCGGAGGAAAAAATTAGGTCAAGATCATGGGCAAGCAGGTAATTCTGCCAGTTTCTATAAGTGAAAGTGACATCTTTTTAGAGTTAAAGAACTATTTTTACTATATTGTCCTTCAAACTTACATTTCAACATTATGACTAATTTAAGATCAGCTTACTAACTTTCACTTCCATAAACAGATATATTAACTTTTATTAAGTTTTAAGAGCTAGTAAAAAGCTAAATAAAATAAGATCAGCTAAATTTAAGCAATCCATTTAAGAAGTCAAAACGTATTTCCTGCAGATAAACGATCGGTATACTTACAACCAAGACAAATAAAAAAAAGGACACGGTAAACAGGATGCACTTGTCAGTGAGC